AAGTTCAGTGTTTCAAAAATACAGTTATCACCTTGTGCCACTTGAGCCTGAAAAGTGTGAAATTATTATATGACAGTGAAATCCCTAAAACAAAACCCTGCAAACAAGGAAGGAGAGGGAAAACGTGCAGCTTGATTTATTTAAACATCAAAGCTCAGACGACTTAATTAAGGCAGCGTTCAGGAAAGATAGAATAGGTTTTGTGACAAAAACCTCCATTGCTTTTTTAGCTTCATTGTTGCCTGCTTTGCAATGCCAATGCTAGTTATGAAAATCCCACAGAGAGAGCGGACTTTTTTGGCCTCGGCACTGCGTTTTGTCCAAAAAACAAGAAGCCTGTTCCTGCAGAGGCAGGCCCCTGCCTGCTTTTTACGTTTGGGTATGAGAATTTCTTATCTTTCAAGCTTTAGACACCATCGTCTGATGTTACTTAAGGAATAACATCTCTGATCTTTTGAGGAGCAGAGGTTGCTCTAACATTGTTGCCATGGAAACTGTGGCCATCAAGCCACTATTTCTCCATCCATACCCATATATACGATAGGCTGTAATGGACAACTGTGCTCTCTCTTTCTTTCTCCCTCCTCCTCTCTGCTTTTTTTCCATCTATATATGATTTAAGATGCTGATGGTCTGTGGGCGGATCAGTGCACGATTGGAATTTAAAAAAAAATATGACTCTCAGGCAAGCATCCATATAAATACTGTCTATGGGCACACATGCAGGATATTTATATTCTGCCTTGAACCCACTCCTGCCTCACCTCATGAATGCATTTCTGTTAATGATCCCCTGCTGGATCTGTATCCCAGTCCTCCTGAAACTCTTACTCATTCATCATAACAGCTTCGACAAGCCCGGCTGAGATGCTGCAGGGGTAGTGAGCAGAGAAGCAGAACTCCTACGGGATGAGCCTGAAAGGGATTAAAAACATTACTGTTGCAGCAGATACCTGCACAAAAGAATCACAGAGTTCGATGAGGTAGAGGCAAATGCAACACCATATGGTTGTAAACATCACTTACATCATCTTCTCTGACTAATAATCTTTATATATATAGATAATTAACTGTAAACTTGCAAAATCTCAAAATGTGTGCTTTTTCTCTTATATTTTTTTAAACGTATTGGTTGATATTGATATTTCTAATTAAAAACATAAAATCAGGACAATTCGCCTATCACTGAGTTAGAGTCACGAAACGAGCCCACTAATATCTTGCCTGGAAAGGTTGTACAGGCTTGTTGATGCCATGTGGGCGGTGTGACGGGGCTGTAAAATTTTTAGAAAGATGAAAAGTGTCAAAGAAACATCCATGTGAATGCCAGGATGAATGCTTTCCCAAGGGAACGTTAAACTGGAACATGATGCATAGTGTTACTAATTTTGGGTCAGAGGCTTTTAAGTCCCCTCTGCTACTCCTCTTTAATACTTGTAAAGAGACATTTTTCATTTGAAATTCATTGTTGTGTTAAGGAAAAAATAAAATAATCTTTAAATGGAAAAAAATGGTTTGGGATATGACCGTGTGGACCTATAACTGTGCTAATCTCTTGCAGTCCATATCTCAAGATGCCAGCAGATGACACCACCTGCCCTGTCTTCTCCACCCTATGCTACACTACACTGTAATGTATTTTCCTACACCATAATACATGACACTACAGATGAAAAGGGATTGCCTCGTAACATAAAATTATCTTGTGGTTATCATAACCAAAACATCTCATAAAAATGTAGATTTTAAGCTGACTGGAGCTTAAATGATAATCATGAGTGATATTAGTGTATAATGAGTAAGTATTTGCAATAAATCTCTTATCACTGAACAAGATTGATATCAAATAGGGTAAGGTTTCCAAAACCACGTGAACTCATGTTACCATAGGAGCTAGTAACTTCTTAAAAGGAGCTATTTTACTGTAAGTACTTTGTAATCACACATATATAACACACACACGTGCACACACACACACACACACACACACACACACACACACACACACA